AAATAATAAAATAAAATAATAAAATAAAATAATAAAATAAAATAATAAAATAAAATAATAAAATAAAATAATAAAATAAAATAATAAAATAAAATAATAAAATAAAATAAAATAATAAAATAAAATAAATAAAATAAATAATAAAATAAAATAAAATAAAATAATAATAAAATAAAATAATAAAAAATAATAAAATAATAAAATAAATAAAATAATAAAATAAAATAATAAAATAATAATAAAATAAAATAATAAATAAAATAAAATAAATAAAATAATAAATAAAATAAAATAAATAAAATAATAAAATAAAATATAAAATAATAATAAAATAAAATAATAATAAAATAAAATAATAAAATAAAATAATAAAATAAAATAATAAAATAAAATAATAAAATAAAATAATAAAATAAAATAATAAAATAAAATAATAAAATAAAATACATACATACATACATACATAAAAATAAATAAATAAAAAATAAATAATGCTCAGCTTCATTCAGTCACCCTGATTCTTCCCTGAATAGAAAAAAGGGAGGTATATTCTTGGGGAAAGCAATTTTGGGCAAAGCAGCATCTGTAATAGTGCAAAATGGGGTAATCCCAACAAAACAGATAAAACACCCGAGTCCAGCCATAATGGAGCAACATCTTTTATTCCTGTACATTTTACATACAAAGTTGTTCAGTAGGTACAACGGGTGTAACATCATGCAGACACTTAGCTTTTAAGACTGTTCTCCAGTAGTTGATTGTTAAGCTTGTGCTATGAAGAAGCACCAACTACTCATGATAAAAAAAAAAGGTACAGTAACAACGATTAGTCAAGAAAACATCATCAGAAATTGAGGGAAAGGGTGGGGATGTCATCCACTTACAGACATTAGCACACTACTCTGTTCCAAAAAAGTTTTTCACACAGTACATTGAAAAAAATGAGGTTTTGTTAACTTTTATTTTTTTAAAAAAATCAAGTGTGAACCATATTCAACACTTGTCTTTCTGTCCCAGCGGTAGATGCAACTTGACATGACATTCAGAGTTCATTTTAATGGCACTTCTGAATTTGGTGACTTTTTCCTTCTTCTTTAGTTTGGCTATAGGAACTGGCGACATAAATAGTTGGTAATTTAAACAACAACAACAACAACAACAAAAACTGAGAAACCGAGCCAACAATTCAGAATACTCATAAGAATTCATTCTTACAATGATCCATAACAAGGTTCTCTGCACCATTTTTAAATTCTTTTAATATTTTTTAAACTTGTTTTTATTTAAGCCGCCCGGAGTCCTTCGGGATTTGGGCGGGCATACAAATCCATTAAATCTTAAATCTCGTTTTCAAAATGTTTTGATAACAAATGGCGCACCAAGTCTTGGAAGGTCCAATGTTGATCTGAACTTTCTTGCTATTAAAAAAGGTTTCTAATAAATTATTTTCAAATATACTTCCCCCCCCCCCAAAAAAAAAAATGGCTGAACTTGGAATTACCGAAAGTAGAAGTAGAAAAACTGAAGTGGACAGAAGAGATACCGATGGGATACCCTTGTTTGGATAAATATGAGGATTTATTTATTTCTCTTCCGGAGCCAGGGCAGCCTGCTAAGAGCTTCCTAGCTGGAAGGTCCTGACTGTCATGGTTCTTAAAATTCCTTCGCCAAACAACATATGCCGTTTTTTTATTTAATTTGGCAAGAACCAAGGATATGATCTGTGTTCAGTTTTCAGGCGTTCTTGTGCTGAAGCTGGTCTTGAAATTTGTGCAACTAGAGAGCATCCCTTCCCTTTTTCTACATTGCAACAGCTTGTAGGCGATGAAGCAGAAGCTGATCTGACAAGAACGCACATTCTGCGGTTCTGCAGATTGTTAAGCTTCAAAGCTGCCGCAGGGAAAGGCTGGTATGTTGTTGCTTGATTCTCCAGAGGATAAAATGGCATTGGGTACATGATGAGAGTCTCAAATGATAATTTTTAATGGAGAGTTCAAGCCATTCTCACAGGAGACAATGAGTGTGGTAGTGGCAGTTGAACCACACCGATGCCGCAGTATATGCGCAGACACAAGTTTCCTACCACTTCTGCTGAAACCTAGACCCATTGAAAGGAATGGCCAGATGACCATTTTCAATGGGGGATGGGAGCTCTTGTTGATCAACCTTTTCCTATCAGAGAACAACATTTTAAACTCTTTTTTTTTTAAAAAAAAAATAGATTTAATACAGGCATTGCCGTTCTGTCCCGATTGAACATTCAAACTGGCTTACCGTTTAAAACAACAGTGGGGGGGAAATAGATGCCACCCAATTAAAGACAGTGTTGTGCTAAAAAGATTTGGTGGTGAATGGATCCTAGTGGAACATGGCCTCATTCTTGCTGGTCTCCACTCAGTTTTGAGGACCATAAAACCTGCTTTTCAGACTTAACGAGAAGAATGAAGCTATACACCACGTACCTCAGGGGTGGGTTTCAACCGGTTCGCGGCGGTCCCCGCGAACCGGTTGGTCGGCGAA